CACCAAACATGCTCGCCCTTTCAGCCGTGGGGCGGTTATAATGTTACGGTCAATCCCACTATTCGTGGTAAAGAGTAGCCCAAGAGTTGGCGGTGGGTGGTGATGACTAGCTGCCTTCCCTCTAGTCTTACACTGCTAAATTAGGACGGCTAGCGCAGATAGCCCTCGTGTAGCTTTGCGCGAAATTACCAAAAAAAAACAAAAACAAACAAACCAATGCAGAGAAGTGTAAAACTAGAACTTTTTTCGGAATTATATTTTGTTTGTCCAGGAGGTATTTGGCTCAATACCAGAACTCATTAGTTGGAGATGATGGCAGCCAAACTTCAACACAGAATGCTATTTTACATACGGGATAAAAATTCAATGTTTTGGTGTTAAACGCCGAAAGCTGACAAAATAATCCAACCAATAGGCCTAATTTTCATGATAAACGTCGTGTTTGACTAAAATGCTTTGCTGTTATTTTTTCATTTAATCCATAATGGACTAATTTAAGAGAAGTGTGTTTGTTTGTTTTTAATTATGCACAAAGCTACACGAGGGCTATCTGTGCTCTGCCCACCACGGATATCGAAACCCGGTTTCTAACGTTGTAAGTCCGCAGACATACCGCTGTGCCACTAGGGGGCGAGAAGTATATGTGGAGGAAGAAAATTATTTAATCTAGCAAGATGATTGTACTGAATAGTCAGTGCACGTTTCTGGTAGAAACTTGCTGTTAGCAGAAAATACATGATAGCAAATAACTATTTATTCATTTTCCATGTTTAGATAACTCAAAATGTGTTTGAAGCTTACGAAGATTTTAGTTTGTTATGGATCGCTTACTAAATGGCATCTTCCTGCTTAAATCGCCATCTTGTGAGCAAGCATTTAAAGAATTCTGCCATATAAAGGCTTTCAGTTCTTATATTCAATATGATTAAGTCCAAGTCTCATAATAATACAAAAATAAAATGACCAGACCAATTGCCGAGTTATAATAAAGAATAAATGGCCTTCTGTATAGTGACTTGAAAAAAAATCAGAAGATAAAAAAAAATTTTCGGCACGGCTTGGTGGTTAGGCCAATCGACTTGCAATGTGAGGGGCGATGGTTCGAATTCCAAAACTGAACATGCTCGCACTTTAAACCGTGAGAGCGTAATAATGTGATGGACAATCCCACTTTTCCTTTGCTAAAAAAGCCCTGGGAGTTGGCAGTAGATGATATTTACTATCTGCCTTTCCTCTAATCTATCTCTTCTAA